CCCAACACATGTCTTTGTACATGTCTTCTTTCAATCAAATAAAGGCAGCATATGTGAAAGAGTTGCCAAGGAAAGTGAACACTGTGTAGAATAAAACCAGGCTATGGCTGGGACAGTTTGTGTTACATAAACGGTGGTTTTACATGGTATTTACTGTCTTTTGCTGTACTGTTATGAATCACTGTAACCCTGACTCTTCCACAAAGACCCACATATCATCTCACACAAAACATGTCTTTTTCAATAACTCTTCTCTACAGACAATTCACATATCCTCTCACCCAGAACATGTCTTCTTTCACAAAGGTTCACATATCTTCTCACCAAAACATATACCTTCCCACACAAACCCCTTCTTTCAAAGACCCTTCCACAGAATATTCACCTATCATCTCACAAAGCATGTCTTTTCAATATCTCTTGTCTACAGAAAATTCATTCATCCTCTCACCCAAAACATGTCTTTTTACATGCCTTCTTTCACAAAGGTTCACATATCTTCCCACACAAACCATGCCTTCTTTCAAAGGCTCTTCCACAGATAACTCACATATCTTCCCACACAAACCATGCCTTGTTTCAAAGACTCTTCCACAGAAAATTCACACATCCCCTCGCCCAACACATGTCTTTGTACATGTCTTCTTTCAATCAAATAAAGGCAGCATATGTGAAAGAGTTGCCAAGGAAAGTGAACCCTGTGTAGCATAAAACCAGGCTATGGCTGGGACAGTTTGTGTTACATAAATGGTGGTTTTACATGATGTTTACTGTCTTTTGCTGTACTGTCATGAATCACTGTAACCCTGACTCTTCCACAAAGACTCACATATCATCTCACACAAAACATGTCTTTTTCAATAACTCTTCTCTACAGAAAATTCACATATCCTCTCACCCAGAACATGCCTTCTTTCACAAAGGTTCACATATCCTCACATGCTCCGCAAATGTTGCGCAACATTTGGAATTTTGTTGCGCAACATTTCCCTGGACCAAAAAACCAAAAAACCAAAAACCAAAAACCAAAACACCAAAGAATGCCAGCCATGGTGGGGGCTAGGATTGTGTTTTTTTTTTTTTTGGGGGGGGGGGTGTTTTTTTGGTGTTTTGGTTGTTTTGGTCCACAAAATGGCCTTGCAGAAAATTCATGAGTTCAATCAAAATACACTGTACATATCAATGGTTTTGATACATGATGCAACAACACCTGGGTACCTGCGGGGGGGGTACCATATATAATATATAGTCTTATAATTATTTATTAAATCCCACGCAAAAATAGCGCAGAATGCTTCACCAACGGCCTTGCTGTCTCTCCCAGATTTCCCAGCCTGCACTGACGGCGTAGCCGTCTAACCTGTCGCAAGCTGCCGCGGGCCGCCCATCTTTCCAACTTCTTCCCTCCAACTGAGGGGGTCTGGACAAAATTATTACGTAGCAAACCACCCATCTTCGGCTTCCCTTGGGGCTAACTAACAGCGGTGCTATTTGGCACCCAAGGGGGAGGTTCTCTGGTATCACCAACAAATTCAACCTCAGCCCTGGACATGACCAACTCTTGCAGCTGAGGGGTGGAATCTGCTTCTCCACGACCAGTCCCGTCGCCCCTTTTTGTCGCAACGCCCGGGATGGCCCGGTGGCATGGCAATGATTGGCGCGCCAAGGGAGTGGAAGAGTCCCCAAACTCACCGAGGAAATCTGGCCGCCTTGGTTTGGGTTACCTGGCCATTTTCTTGTGGTACTCCGTCTTGCGGTTCAAGTCAGGTCGGGAGTTCCTGTAAACATAGCTCTTGGGAAACTCGCGGCGTTGCATGTGGAGATCTGTGACTTCTGAGGATGTATCTCCATTGATGCCTTTGCGAAAGAGCGTCCCAAAACCAACTTGCAACACAGACCCTGTGTGGCGGACCTCCCACATGTTCCTTCAGAGCCGGTATCTGGCAGCTTTAAAGGCACTGAACTAATAATTCCTCTTATTCACACAGCCAGGTTCTCAAAGCTACCTGCGCTGTTGATAAGTCAGCCGGCTAAAGTCTTCAGCTCCACTTGGCGCATACCAATCCGACCCCGCATGCCCTTCCCAAGCCACTGGCGGGGACGTGCCTCAGGGCAGCAAAATATAGAAGAGTCTCAACCACAACAAGTCTATACTTCAGCGAAGGACTCCTGCAGTGGAAGCAGCTTTCATGGGATTTCCTGCTGTGGATGCATGTTTGTTTGAAGCAATCTAAATCAGAAAGCAATGGCGGTTACTTGAACTCTTACTTCTGCCAGGGAATGAAGAGAGGTCGTGTTCTTCAAGTCCAAAGGCCAAACTTACATAACTTTGGACTGCTTCAAGCTTGCCCAACTTTGGGACCTGGATGCAACAAGACACGTGAGCCAGCGCTTTCGACGGCCCCGCCAGTGAAGAGCTAAGCGCAACGCCGACCCTCTAGCCGCGCAGGCTACGAGGTCGCTTCGGCCGTGGTGAGTGGTGGCCCCCCGGTGGCGTGGGAATCGGAGCCATCGGTCGGCTTTATCCATCCACCGCGACCCCAACGCCAATTCGCAAGGTGTGTGAAGCCTTCGATCACATCATGCCATGTCTACCTTGCCCGAAGGTCACGGGAAGAGCGGCATTAAGTATCAGATTGGGGGATTCTGAGCAGTGCAGCGGGGTCCCAAACCCGAGCTGACTTTTGGTTCGTGACCCACTACGATTGTAAAGGTTTTTGCGCTGTCTATGGCTACACGCCCTTGCAGTACTACAACCCCCCGGAAGTCAGCTACGCGAACCACCTACAAAAATGACTACCTCGTAGGGTTCTGGGTACCAAATTTGAATTACAGCGGGTTTTGGCCAAGAAGCTGCCTTCATCTCGGATCGTGTTACATCCCGCCACATGACATGAAGGGCGCTGGTAGTACACTTTCAAAATTCAGCAAAACTGCGACCTTCTAATTGCGATTGTCCTCAAGCAATGGCGCTAGTTTGCACAAATAACTGTACCACTCACAAGAAATTGGGGATTCTCGAGTGAGGAAGCTTCGTCATGGGGCCGGGGCTCGTTTGAACGGCAGGCAAACTTGTTCTGATGTGGTCCCTCCTTAAGCACCGAACACGGCACTTCATTGAAGCGGGATTGTCACGTTTCGTAAGCCTAGAACCTTGCCAGGGAACTGGGGAGTGCCAGCAGATCTCATGCAACCCCTCCCCACCCTCAACAATTGGGAAAATCCCTGTCTTCCCTCGGTGCGTATGTGAGCTTGAAGGAAAGCACCTGAAAAATCCGCGGCTCATGCATTCCATCGGCCTCCCACATCCTCGCTGGTTCTGCGTGCACCAATCCCGCGGATCAGTAATTTGCAAGCCGCTGGGCTCACTTCGCCTGGCGTGGAGAAGAATATCTTCGCCGAATCACTTCAAATCCAAAAACGTTTTGTGGCTTGCGCGCAGGCCCTGTCAGCTGGAACCACAAGGGGGTGCTCGGTGTGCGGGCCTGCGTGCGGATCTTGGTGTACCCGCACAAGAGGTCGTACTTAACATCGGATATGCCGTACCTCAATGGGCGCGCAATCCAAGTGTTTGGCGACAACTGGTGGCAGATGCGAATGTGAACATGAGTCCATGCCCCAAACAGGCTGGTCCAATGCTTAAAACGTGAGCCAACGGCCTGTCCTAAACTTACGGACCCCTCCCCCACCAAACTAGTCGTTCTCCCTTGGGTTCCCTTCAAACCAAACCAAAATTCGGGTAACTTCCCAAAGTGGCACGCCCACATCTCATAATGCAATCACTCGACCTAGGGCCCCAGCACCTTCATGACCCCTCCCGGGCTGCGCCACTTCACCTCCGCCATCGCCTGCTCCACCCGCAGCCCGTTCACCTGCGGGAAAACCCAAGCGCACCTTTGCATCGAGTCAACGAGACTTGGCAACCGTGACGAACTGTGAACACCAGCCACCTGCAACTGCGACTGATATGCTCAACAGCACAACCACAACAGCAGCAGAAGCAGCCGCAGCGACAACGACAAAGAAATAACGACATCAAAGGGCACGACCACGACCACAAGCAGCCAGCAAACAAACAAGCAAACAAAGCGACACAACACAACAGCACACAACACTGCAACCCCGATTGCAAAACGAGGCAAACCAAAACAAAACAAAACACGGAAACGCAAAACAAATCAACAAACATGCAAACAAAGGTGCCAGCGTAAACCCAGGGGATCACAGAATGGTGGCGGGTGTTTTGCAAAGGATGGACAAAATCCACACCAGGCACCAGTTTTGGGGTTGGTGGTGTCACGACTGGTGCGAAACGGATTTAGCATATCCTAAGTAGAAACCTCTCAAAATGGAATCCCACTCGTCCGCGCTTCGCCTTCCGAGTCCGTGAGTTGATGTTGGGGTTCTTCGCCACCTGCCCACGAAAACAACGAGGTGCGCTTCCAGCCATCAATTGTCCTCCTTGCTCGAAAGAGGAATTTGGTCCCTGGAAAAGAACAAGGACTGTGAAATCCTGACTGAGAAATCCTGGCTGAGAAATTCCGGCTCAAAACATCCGCCAGCTTAACCCATGACTGGTCATCCTCACACCTTTCACCGGTCAACTGCTGCAGGGTTTGGATTTCAGCTCCTGTCTCCTGGCCTTGCTGGTCTTGATAAGCACCGAGCTGAGCGAGACCCCCTTGGGGAGGCAGCCCTGGGCGCTTTCATTCGGGGGCGTTCGCTAGCACAGAAAAAGCAAACCAGCGGTCGCTGATGCCCTGCTTCCTTTATCCGCAGGCGTGGTGCGCGACAAGGAGGAGTAGGCCCAAAGCAAATCGATGTGACAACACCCGATTGGCACCCGGTGTGATTGGCATGTTTTCAACCAAGCCTGTTCATCCATTCCATCCGGCGCTTAAGCATGGGAGAAGAGGAAGTGCAGCCAGGCTAAGCTTAATCTCTGGTTCTTTCCTTTGTGCTGCACTACAGTACGCCTCTGTGACCTTGCGAGGAGTCTGTTTGCAGTAGACCTTTTCTCATATGGCCTATTTCGGAGTGATAGATCTTCGCGAGGGAAGCGCCTTCATGTTCCCTGCGTGGCCTTGAGATGTACAGAAAGTGAGGGAGTGAACATATATATATATATAGTATTATATTATATTATATATGATATATGTGTATTATATATATATACACGCTTATCAAGTTAGTCATCTGGTATATGTCAACATGTATGTCATGCGTCCTCGGGCCCAATTCTTAGAGGAGGCCTGTCTTGAGCTTTTAGCCCATGGAAACTTGGCGGCGGTCTGCATCGATCGAATCCCCATGTTCGCCTTCGGCTTGGAGCTCTTCATAGCCTCGGAAAGAGCATTGGTCTCAAACCAAGCCCAACGTGAACCAACAAACTTGACTGAGGCAACCCCCCTGAAAATAGGGATTGAAGTTTGCCTTTTCTCCTTGCCTCTAGTATTCCCCTAAAGTTGAAGAGTTGGCGCACACAGACCCAACAAATTCCAAAGGTGCGCCTTTCTGTTGACGGAAAGCCCTTTGTTGAGAGTGGTTTTAAAGGGAAGCGAAAGGAAACCACGGGCCAAATATGGTTCGCCATTTGAAGACAACCTTCAATGTGGACAGCCAGGGGTATAGGTGTTTTCTATTATTCTAGTGAGTTTTCAATGTCGACGTATTGACTCGGCAAATCACTATAAAATTCACAAACCCGACATAAGGAAGAACTCATCACCGGTGAGCTTACCCCCCGAGCTCGCCATAATCTGTCCAGCTGACCGAACCTCGTGATGCTGTGAGGAGAAGATTATTCAGGCGGGCGATTCAGGCGACTCTTAGCCAGCGAAGAGGATGTTCAAACATGCATGGGGTTCCTTGCCCTGACGGTCCTGGGGCGTGGTATGAAGCACCAAAGATTTCCCATCCCACAGCCCGACTTGATTTGTGGGTTGAACTGGTCTATAAGGAGGGCCCAACCATCAAGAACATGTCGCCCAAGATTTCTGTTTGCCTGTTGACTTCCCCTCACACCAACTCAAAAAGGGTTCTGGAACACGCCCTTATAGATGCCAATCCGTTGGAAGCCGCCGCGCCTTCATGGCGCTCCTCTTGGTGGCGGTCTTGATGACCTTCATGGCGGACCTCCTACACAGGTCCACGGTATGCTCACCGGGCCCCAAGCGTTGGATAGTCAGCTTCTTTTGGGGCGACGAGTTCGTTGAATCAACTGGGTTCTGAAATCGGATGCAACACACATCGCTTGGCGGCGATCGGAACTCGGAACCTGTTTGATACCTGCCAAACGGCTGTTGCCTGTAGGGCATCAGTGCGCCAATTGCTCTTCGGCTGGTGCGTGCGAGTGTCTCCTTTTTCTGTTAGAGAACCCAGGTCCCCATTTTTGAGACCCACCCATGTGTTTCTATCATGCCTTGGAACGCTCTCAAAATATGTAAATTAGCATCCGAGTGGAGGCTGCGGATGCCACGGCCCGACCGGGTGAGCCAGAAGTATGACTCATGTGCGCTGAACCTAACAAGTCCAAAGTGCATTGACCAAACGAGTGAAACGGGGGAGGAACCCGCCGTCAGCGGCCTTGCCTCGCCCGGTTCCGGGTTGCTCATCACAAGGGGCCGGTTCCAAGCGGAGACAATTCATCCAAACATGAACAGAAATGGGCCATTCCCCCCTCTGGAGTAGCTTGTCTTCCCCCTGAGCAAAGGATCACGACTGCTTTGGAAGAAGCCAAACCTTGGCCGCCAACCTTACCTTCTCCATGATGGACAATTCACTTAGTTTCAACAAAGATCATCCGATCTATGGAGTTCGGCTCGCTTTCGACCCCGCGGATTCGGCCGCGGGAGTGCGTCCTCGCCGGGCTGCGCTCCGCCTTGGCGTCGTTGTCCGCGGGCCACGCGAGCATCACCTGGTGCCAGTGGCTAGCTCTCCCAACCCCCCAGTTGATACATGAGAGAGGAAGCTAGGAAGCTTACATGGGTGTTTCTCGCAATGGGTGTTGTTGTTTTTTAGGATTTGCACCCCAGAATTGGTGGCTTTCCTTTCAGTCTTCCTGTAAAACCACAAAAAAAGCGGGTACCCTTCAATAATGACACACGCTATGGGGAATCGGGCAATCCCTTGCCATCCCTTTAAATACACAATAACATCATTTTGAGAAACTCACGCATAGGATCCCGATATATCCCAGCCCACACCTCCTAACCCGACCCGACCCCCCCCCCCCGGAGCCCTGTGTCCCCAAAATAAGAAACTAGGGATCCGAAATGAGACAGGAATCATGATCCTTCACTAACTGGAGACTAGCTTGTTACATTAATTTGAACATGTTGTCTTCTTGAGCCTGCTCAACTTCCAACTTGCAAGATCATTGGACACCACCAAGAAACTGCGACTTTTGAGGAATGTCGCTCGTCAGTTCAACTGAAGGGTCTGCGATTCGGCAACTATCTCATCGAAGTTGTCAGTTCAAACGTCCACCCTGGCCAACTCCAGTGCTCACCAAGTGGATCCACACAAACTGCAAACACTAACCCCAAATGGATTGTTTGTGAAGTTGGGGAGTTCCCACTGGAATTGCGGGAAAAATCGGGGCCGTCCCCCGGCCTCGTCCTCTCCAAACCAACAGTAGACCAATAATTGTTTCTCGTTTTGTTCATTTCGCTCAAGCCTTCTGCTTGAGTAGTGGGAGCCCGGGATGAGAACAAACTCAAAACCATTGTTGATTCATCTCGAGTGTTCCATTTAATGAGGGCAACCTTCACTTCTTGAGGGAGCTTAAAATAATCCACCGGTCGGTTGATTAGTCCGGGGCTGACATTCACCAAGCGATCCGAAGCGAGCTGCGGCCTCGTTTGTGCGCTTGGTGTGGTCCCTGATGGCGCGGGGCCACTTCTTTTGGAGGATCGCAATGTTCCGCTGCTCCTATGCAGGCGATGTTCTAAGAAACCAGCTGGACAATCTATCAGAAATTGGCCACAGCCCAGGTGCTTTGTAATTGGTAAACTTCCTGATTTTCCCGGAGCTGGTTTCTTAGCACTGCGCAACAACCAACAGCATTGTGATCAATATGATACCCGTATGCCTTCGCGAGGCCTATTTGCCCCTGAATTGTCATTCGGCCATGAACTTTAATGAGGAATACATGTTCACCTGGCTGGTGGACACACATCCTCGCCTAAATGATGTCCACCAGAGGGTCCCCAATTCAAATTCGCACCACACTTGTTTACCACACGTTTGCTACTCATTTGGGGTCTGGGGTGAAACCTCTCAGTTCAGGTGCTCAACAATGGCAGGTGCTCTTCCTGCTGCGGTTGCCGCATGGCCAATTTTCTGAGGCGCTGATAGTCTCTGCCACAAACTTCCTGCGTGCTACGTAAGCCGCTCTGGGAGAAAAAAACGAAGACTACGCCTCCCACTTCTGGATTCCTTTCGGAACAAACTGGAAAATGCTCATCCCCTGTGGATTTCATGTTGAAAAAGATAAAATTATTCGGTCAAGCATGCAGCTTCCAGCTAACCAGTCCTCCAAGCCCTTCTTGTCTCTATTGGAGCAGGCCCCTCCACAGTTGGAGTAGTGCTTCACCTTCAGCGTCATGCGATTGCAGCGCATCACCTAAGCATTTTTTTCGCAGCCCAAGAGCAGTGCTGGACCCAATTACAGACACACACACATTTGCTTGTGAGCCCCGTTTGTTTTCCAGGTATACAGTGTCAGAGTGAGCACTCGAGTGGACTCTGCACTTGGGCGTCCGCGGAGCCATGGTCGTGGATGTGCTGGCAGGTGAAATCCTGAGCTCTCGGATGGGATTGGGACACCGGTAAAGGGTCCTATGTCCATCTCTATATCTTGGATATGAGATACTAAGAGAGAAGAACCTCTTGACCAGAGGCAACAACTTGCAAATTATCATGTGTTCTTGTTGGCTTGGCTGATTTGCAAGTTAGTCATGATTATATTCTATAAATATAGCGTCCATGTTCCTTCTCTTGATAAGTAGTAAATAGAAACAAGAAAGGATAGGAAGGAATGCATCTCTTCTCTCAGTCCATCCTCATAATCCGATTTCCCCTTTTTGGATAGCATGTTCCAAGGTGAGGAATGGAGAAGATGCTACTAAGAGAATGAACGGGAAAGGCTTGCCTCTCTTCATCAGGCCTGCTCACCCACTGATATCAAAACCGTGAAGGCTGAAGGCCCAAGCACGGCGACCGAGCCTATCATGGAGGTGTGGTGCTTCTTAACAGGCTGAGACTCATAATCCTCCTTGAGTGAGAGGCTCTCGTCAAAGCGAACCTGGCAAAATTCGAGGCCGTGGCTGATTTGGCAATGGGCGATGGGGGAATTGAATTGCATCAGGGCGAAGGCAGGAGGACAAACCCTTGCAAATAACAAGCAGAACTCGTCATGTGTAAACAGCTTGAACAAAACATGGTCAAATCTTGGCTCCCATTGCGTTGCTCCTCAAAATCCCGCCCACGACTGCCTCCCCTTTGTCGTACTCCTCCATCAGCAACACTTTGCAGCTCCCTAAAACTGAAAACTGACAAAGCCAAACTGCTTCAACACGTGCGCGCTTGCGCCCACAAGCCCACGAAATGAACAGTGCCATTTGGGTTTCCCCACAAAGCCGACCAAAACAGGTCCCAAAAAATGGTACATGCAACGCCCCATCTAAGCCATGTTCAAAACAACAGCATCCAAACTGAAATTGCTACTGCAAACCAGGGCATAACTGTTGCCTCCTGCGACCCCTCTGGAAAATCAAGATTGATCCTCCTATTCACCAACACCAACCCCCTCGAACATGGTTGTGGGAAAGAATCCTTCCGGTTGGTATTACTAGAATGTCATAGAGTCATAATTAAAGTGGGCGTACTTTGTCGCATTTTGAAGGGGATTCCCTTGGTCGCAGAAAATGGCCCACAACCATCCGTTTTCATAAACCATGGCCAGACACAAATCCAAACTGGAACCCTCAAAAAAAAAAGAACATGGCTCTAAATTCTTTCACAACCTCCTCTCCGGACAAAAAAACAAACACCTATCAGCCAGCTCCTCCCATCGAATCGACAAATCGACGGATCGACGGATCCACGGAGTCTCGACGCCTTGCTGCCCTTGTCCACCACGAAGAAGTCTCCGATCACAAAGTTCTTCCCCGCGAAGGCCTCCGAGGAGAAGGTCCGCGCGCAGCTGCCTCCGGGCGGGGCTTGGGCTTTCGGGCCCCGCGGTTTTTGCCGCGGACCCGGAGGCCACATAAGGTGAAACGCGAGAGAAACATCGGTGGACTTACTATGGATATGTTGTTTTTCTAGACACCAGGAATTGTGGCTCATTTGCTGAGGGGGTTCCTTTTGAAGCCATGCTGAAATATATATATATATATATATTCAGGAATTAGTTCAGCCTTCTTTTCCAGCGGTACCCTCCACATTGTTTTCAAGGATCTTTCATACAATGAGCCAAACCCTGGCAACGGGCGTCATTTCTGAATAGAAGGATGGTTGAAGAGAATGAGGAATCAACCAGTAAAGCTTTGTTGGTTGACCCTGGGGTTGAACAAAATGTGCTTTGACAACCCCTCGGGCCGGTTGAATGAACAAGCTGTTGGACCGGGGAATGTATGGGTATAAACACAATGTCCTTGCAGAACTCCTGGTAGCTCCTTAGCTTCCTCCTGAACGAGGCATTTGGACACCGCAGGCTCCTTGGCTGCAACAACCAACTAGTAAACCCACTAGTAATCCATAGGCATGACCTCCGGTCCCGCTCCCGTGCCCGCGCCTAGGGCGTAAACCTGAGCGCTAGCAACCCAGCGCTGGCAACGGCCAGCAGCGAAGATTCGCTACAGAAGGCAACCAGGGCCAGGAATGAAACGAAAAACATGGAGCCGCACATGCCGAGCTCATGCAAGCTCATGCCTTCGGGATTTCGAAGCACAGCTGCGCGCAACAAAGCAACATGGCTTGCTGAAGCCCAGGAAATCCTCACCATTTCGCATGGCCTGCGTGGCACTTTCTGGCGGGGTGCAAAAGCGCTCATGGCAAGCATGGCAAAACACCCCCCCAACATGCAAAATCGATGGCAGGCGCAAAGGCCTTAAGAAGCCGTGTCTGCACCAGAAACAACTGGCAGCGGTATGTTCTTGCGGGGCCGTGAGGGGCACAAAGAAGGCTGGTGCCCTTTGCCTAGTTCGGTTACAACCCTCTGAAGAAAAACAAAAAGACTGACAACCCGCCGCCTGGTCTAGGTGAAGGAGAAGGCAGGAATTCGCAAAGGCTTCGAATCCGCAACGCCAAAGAAATCACCAGCGGCCTTCACCCCCCGGCAGTCCTTTTGCTTAGCCCCTGGTTTGGTGTCTTATTTGTGAGGGTACCCATTTTGTGTTGGCTTCATGGGCAACCAAAAGGACACCCCCGAGCACATTTTGGGGGTCCATATCCTATTTTGAGACAGTCCCTTTTGAATTTGGGAACCCGACTTTCGGCATCATGCTGAGCCGCCTTTGTTCAGGTCCATGCGAACCCAAAACGGGTCCGCTTACAGGGGGTGTGACTCCAAAGTATAGAGCCACCTGGGTTGATGGTTTGGATTGGTCGTTTGGGGGCTTGACCGCCTGGTGCTTGTAGAGGGTAAACAGAGATCCACCCCCGACCTCCAAACCATCAAGGGGGAAGCTGATTCGTTGGGGTTGCCAAATGGGGATGCTCCAGTTGAAAACACATCTTTCGGATGTTCAAAGGGAAACCAAAAGGAAACAAATGTGTAGGACACTCTCGTGTACCCCCACCAAATTCACATGGGTTGCCCAATGTGGGGGGACAAAAAAGATATTGATCTAAACTGATGGTTTGTTGGGTTTCATGGTGATCGGCTGGGAATCTCTTGGTACGATGTGTTATGCTGGAGGTCTCTCCAAGCAGCTCCGCCAAGCTTGGGCTTGTCCGGCGAGCCTGAGCCAAGTGGGCGGGGGGGGGGGGGGATCCAGCTGAGTGGGTCTTCCCCTCGAACAAGCAACAAACCCATCGCCCTTTTGGAGGCTCGATCAAGAATCTCCAATTGATTTCCAGTAGATCTAAGGGGCGGTTCAGATCACTAAAGAACAGCCAAGCCTTGTCATGGTCATGAATCAAACTCGAAAGGATATGAACCACGATCCTGTAAAATGCTACGGTTTGCTAATGAACCACACATCCCGAATGTGGCCCAAACGAAAAGATCCCACTCCTAAATCACGCGTGGCCATCCGTGTCACCGAAACCGCGCCTCGCATCTTGGCCGCGATGAATTGAGCTGCAGCCACCGGCGACAGGACGTAACGCCTCGGCAGAAGGAACGAGATTCGGTTGCTGGAGAGCTCTATCCCGATGCAAACATCAGGGCTGCCCACAAAAATGCGCTTCTTGGGGAATTGTTCATCAACGCATGCGCAAACATGATTTCCTTAGCTTCTCCAAGGCAAAAATGGAGGATCGAACCCCAGCGATGCGTCTTTGGTGGAAACTTGCGTCGGCGATCCTTGAGAGGTGATGGGGGAAAGCTGAATGCCCCGAAAGGTCATGTTTGGCGCAAATCCTAGGAACTTGGCACACGTCTGCTTCAGAGGAAGTTTGCAAGGAACTTCCGCGGTACCGCAACCACGTGAAAAATAGCTCTCTGACACAAAACAAAAGAAGTGAATAATCATGCACGAAAAAGTACGCTCGCTGTGGCGGGGATAGAAATAGCTCTCTGCGGGTTTCAGATTCTTCGGATGCTCGAAAGCTAGCCTCAGCGCGACGCCTGGCCGGAGCGGCAGGCGCATCAATTTCGCAAGGTCGGATACAGACTTCGTGGCAGGCGCAGCACATCGCGGGCATCCCAAGGGGAATCTCTCAGAGCCCCAGGAGTTGAGAGGTATGCAAACCCAAGGACATACTGACGGACGAACTCCGGCAAGGATGGATGCCCGCAAATATCGGGAGAAATCACACAGACCCAACAGTTGTTCAAAGGGGATTTGTCCATCAACAATCAATAGTTAAACTTATGTTTGGCCAGGTCGGGCAAGCTTCGCCAAGTTTTGGGACCTTGCTGGCTCCTGTAGGTCGTGCTCAAAATCTGGCATTCAGGACGTCTGCCCAAACCAATGTAATGAAACGGACAGAAAGCCACACCTATTCATGGCAAGGGGACAGACCTCCCCTGCTAACCTTCAAGCCAGGAGATGAATCCCAGTTGCGATCACGCACATCACTGCAGGGCGGATGCCCCAAATGCTCGGGGGAACAAGGAACCCCCCCTCCCCCCCCATACTCGACTGCGTGTGCGGATTTGGTTGTCTCCCTGGCAATACTCAGAGTATCAACCATCGTTCTCCTCGAGTACACACGGAACCCGAAAGGGGGTTTCACCAAAGGAGATTCCTCTGAAAGAAACCCAGGCCAGCGGGTTCCATGTCAATCACGGTTCTGAGCCAGGGGACTTGGCCGCGTCGTGGGCCTTGTTCATGGCGTCCTGGGTGCCACGCGTGTGGGTGTGGTGTGCCAGGTGTAGAGTGGTGAAATGGCACTGACACCTCCTGAAATTCCAGGACACGGGACAACTTCGGACCAATTTCAAATGATCTCACAAGCACTCCCATCTGGTCAGCCAGTGTTGACAATTGTTTAGAAACAAGCTGGTGCAGGTTGGCTTGTGCAACACACGTTCATTCACCCGTCACACTCACTTTCTCTGATCTTTCAAGCTGACTTTCGACATACTTGCTGCCAGGCCGCATCTGTCCTCTCAGTAGCCATCTTTCCGTGGCGATACCTCAGGCAAAGGACTTCGGCAAGCGTCACATCTTTGGAAAGGCTTCTCAGTGTCTTTGGAGGAGGTTATTTGAAAATATCCCCTACGTTTGAGCCAAATGGGACCGGCTCAAGTATCTCCGAGCGGCTCCCAGGCCGAGATGTCATCGGAGGCCTTGACATGTTGGCTTCGAGCAAAAATCCTTTGGGGTCCCGGTGGTTTTCCCTTTAGGCACCCATTTAGACGGTAGCTATCGTGGATGTCTTTTTAACTTGAGTGGCATTTAGAGAGACTGAGAACAAATGTGGGTGTCTCTTCAATCGACCCAGTCCTACAATGGGAATGGGATCCCAAAACTGGGCGTTTCAGGCTTTCGCTTTAGCTTCCCTTTGACATCATGTCTGCTGCCAATGGAGCTTGTACCCTGGATGGTCCCTGTGTTGGTGTGTCCGTGTGTTCCATACTCAAAACTCCCCATGTGGGTCATGGCCATAGTTCCCGAAATAGGAACTCTTGGAATGACTTTTCATGTAGGGCTCATGACCATCTCTATTGCCCAAGTCAAAGGATGTTTTCACCACGGCACGTGTGGATTGGCAGGAAGGACCTTAGAGAGCGCTAAACCCTAGGCCCGTCCTGCACGCAGATCTTGCCCATGCGCTCCGCATCCTGGGAGAGGCTGAGGGGTCTCAGGCTGGGTTTGGCCGATAGGATAGGGAGGAACCAGCCAGGAATGGCCTAAGAACCTCGCTTGCAAGGGCTGCTTAGAAGGGTTGCGAAAAGCCTTCTGTGGACGAGGTCTCTCCTCAGCACGACTCGTCTTGCCAAGAAAGCATGCAACTTGCAGGCTTGGATGCACGAGGTCCATCCAGAGCACAGACAACACCATCCTTAAATATGCGGCTCATAGGCGCCAGTGCACCAGCAACTCCCGCATGGGAGCAAGGCCGTGGGAACAACACAGTGACAACAAACATAGTATGTAGCCAAACTGACAATATACAGATTACGGCTGATGTCAGATATTTAAACGAAACTGTATATTAATTCAATCAGAAATAAACAAATAGACTGCGCAAAGAACTCCCCACTTAACTTTCAAGCGCTGGATCGACCCGCCTCCAGTGCCTTGTTGCGCGCGGGCGTGAGCTTCCCGCCTAACAGTCGACCATTGAAGCAAGCATGACTTGAACTGGGTCACGCATTGGTTCCATGAGGTGAAAAAGGGTTGGCAGCCCTTGAATCAGCTGCTTTTCTCCAGTTCGTGTTTCAAAATTTTACTTGATGATTGGTCTGTTCCTGTTTTCAGCGCTACTTGCAAAAAGTGGTTTCTCTGAAGTAGAGTTCCGAACAATGACCACATGTGGCCCGTCACCGGGCAAAACTTGTGAAGTCTGGAAAGCAACAGTGACCAGAGACCCCCACAAGGTGCATCCGGCTCAGAACTAAAGAGCAATGCTGACTTCAGATACATAAATTAAGTGTTTCCAAAATTCTGGGGGCGGCCCCAGAATAATGCAATGTCGATGGACCTGTCATTGACCTACGCCGTGCAACACACACACACACAAAAGGCCGCCCGAAGTCGTCGCCGGATGTCAGACTTGGCTCGTTCCCTCGCCTACCACAGCCTTCAGGCCCAACTTCTTGTAGTCATCCAGGGACTCCGCATCCACGTACCAAGTCGGAGTCCTTGCAAAGCTGCGCTCAAGGAAAGTGACTTGCAAGCAAAAAAAAACACATGTGAGCGGCCCGGTGCCTACATGATTGGAAGAAAGCTTCCCATAGGACTCGGAACATCATCGTACTGACGCATCGGCCCCTTTTGGGCTGGGGCTCTCTGATTCAACGCGCTATTGCCCCCTTCCCTCTTGGATGACCTACGTCCTGGAGCCGTGCTTGAGCCACCATTTCCGCCAAGCAGCACCCCAGCATCCGCAAATTGCGACTGAACCATGAAGATGTCTTGTAGGCCCTCAGCCTGCAGAGATCTCCCAAATTATTTGTTTCCTCCAAACCAGGTGGGTGTCTCGGAAAAATCGCTGAGGTAAATTGCTAATAACATGGCAGACAGGGCACTTCAAGAGGAAATCTACGCGAGTGGGAGGGAGGGTATGCTGGCTTTCCTTTAACCAGCTGGTTTCGACAGAGCCATGTCCTGGCATCTTCGGGGGAAACCACACAGAGTAAGAAGCAAGCATACGCATGTTCAACCTGGAGCGGGCAAACATGTCCATGGTCCGGACTCTGTGCACGAGCCGTGGTTAAGATAAGTTATTTTCCAATGGGGACATTAGACAATTGGGTGGCCCGCCCTCCTCAAACCAGTAATTTGATCAGTCGCTCAATTGGGGCACGGTCTGTGCTCCGCCAGAATGCGTGAATGTGCCCACCCTTTGTTTTATCATGTTTGAACCACTATTGTTTCCTGTTGCTTTCTTTTTCTTAGGGGACCGTGTGGTTGTTGAGGTCAACTTGGCAGCCCCATGTCAACCTTCTCTTGAAGTTGCCCACCCGTTCGTGTTTCCAACCCCCGGCCGCTCATCTCCTTGTCCCCTTTTCACCATTTGGCTTTACTGATGTTTGGAAAAGCATAGGGGGTCACAAAAAAGGACACCCTAATGCTGCAGGCCTTTCGAAAAGGCATTCTCCTTCTGGATGCTTTAAAGGCCCCGGTTCAAGAATACGTGGATGGTCTTCTCACAAATCCGAAAGGGGATCCCCATCGATTTGTTTTGCAAGAGCTTGAAAAACGGAAGCCATCAAGGTTCTCTTATTTGGAGGCAGCACCCGGTATCGGACTCTGAAGTCAAAAAAGCCTTTCAGTTCATTGGAGCCTTCCCAAGCCGCTTTTGGAAAAGTCGTGATTGGAGCCAAACTGAAACCTGTGGAATCTATGCACTTCCAAAACAACACTTACTGTGATGAACGAAATCCTGCAATACGTGGTTGGGATGGATGAAACCTCATAAAAAGTGGTGCGAACTGGGTTTTGCCCATCCACAGTATGGCCACGTATGTTCTGTTTTGTCTGCACAGAACTCTCGTGCGCGCGGACCTTGTTGGCGCGCCGCGCCGAGACGATGCAGAAATGGAACGCCGACTTCGGGGGAATGCCTCGCACGCAAAACAGGTACTCTGTGCACGCAAGCTGCGGATCCAGGGACTGCAACGGGAACCCCAATTCAATGGCCCAATGTTTGGGCTGGAAAATGATGCGGAGGGAAACACTCTTTGAAAGTTGTTGCTGCCCCAAGGAGAGGCATTCCAGATCTTTTGACCCTTCGTTTTGGGTTGTTGGAGACCAACCATCGTTACAATCCGTGCAGATATTGGATGTCTGCAAAGCTCCAACAAAGATTCGAGCTCTTGCATTCTCATGTCAACTACGTCGAAAACGCAGTTCTGCCAAGCCAAATCCAAAGCCCAAGGCCTAGCTGCGGATAAGCCCCAAGGAGAATCAATATCCCCAACAGCGCTTGGTCAAACTGCATGCCCGGAATATCAAAATTTACCTGGAACCCTTACAGAATCCTGGATTTCGCTGCGATTCCACAGCTGTCGCTCTTGTGTTCGCACAAAACCAATCCCAAGCAGGCCAGGTCCGCATTTCTGCTCCTCCGACTTCAAAATGCTGAAGAGCGACTTGTCTGAGTCGGTCCTCGTCTCTTTTTGCACCAAAGAGCATGACTTTGGTGAGGCAACGCCACTCCCAGTTTCGAAGGGGTTGCAAGGTCGTGAGGTCTGTTTTGCAATGTTGTCAGCGTTAGTTTACATGCCGGCTGCACTGTACAATGGTACAACTCAGGATTGTGTTCACACACGCAGACCATGAGTCCCATTGCACCAATCCACACTGCTCATCTCAGGCCAAGGTTCTGGATGTCTTTCTTCGAGTTCGTCATGTCCTGCAAGAGCCACAGCTCTCTCAGCTCTCAACTGAAGCCGTCTGTCCACCGTAGTTTGGCTTGCCGCCGCTTTCACAGCTGAGGCGCTCACAGAATCCCATCTTTGCACAAATCATCCAACCCAAGCCCCAAATCCCATCATGTCATTCAGCGGGCATTCATGCTACCCCCTCCCACTTGCATGGATTCCACAGGGCCCTTTTAGGCAATTTGTCTTCCAGCCTCCAGTCAGGTTTTGTGGTCTTTAATTGTTTTTGGTAGTGTCAACATTTGGGCCTCGGACTGTGACCGAACCTGAAGTGTTTCAAACGCCTGCGATCGGCCGCCAGAAACATCAACATCCAATCCGCGCTTCCGCTCCTTGATCTGAGCGCGAGCCACTTGGATCTGGCAGAGGCCACGCCGCAGGAAGGGGTTGGGGAGTTCTTGCTAGCCACATGGGCAGGTGAGCTGACCTTCGAACAGGTTGAAAAGGCCTTGACCGTAGACTGCACCAGAGCCCATATGGTCTTTATGGTTGGGGTCAGTTTTGACTGGTTTTCGGCCCAAAGTGAGGTCACTTGGAGGTCTCAAACGTCAAGGTCTTAGAAGCCTGGTGGCCAAGGAAAAAGAAGGCTCCCCTTTCTTTCTTGGTCGATGTTCAAGGCGAAATATTCCACTTTATTGATCAAGAAGAGTCCATGGAAAGGAGAGTTAACCCTAAGCGATCCGTGAGCTGGGCTAGAGTACTCCGTTTCGACCTCATGGCCTATATCTTGGGACACTAACCATCGGTTTGATCTCTTGCAAACTAAATGACAATGCCGTTTTCGTATGGTTTTCGGGACCCTTGAAGATGCCGAAAGCGGAAGCCAACGTTCAGCCGGCGCCACGGCTTCCTTCGCGTTGAGCTTGGCTGTGCGCACCTCACTTGCCCCAGCGCTCGCTTCCGTGGATTGGCCAAGTCTAAACGTTTTGGGTTTCAAACTGAGGTTGACCCGGATCCAAGTAGAACCCCTGGTTAAGCAATGAGTGAGAGTCCCCTTTTGCTGGGGACTCAGACCGCTTTTGAAAGGAACACCCGCTCTAGAACAGGTTTATTATTCCGGAATCAACACTTCAAGTGTACTTCCAAAAAGCAGGTCAGGCAAAGTCTAAACCTTTGGTTGACATGGCCTTTCGAAACAAGATAAGTCCGGAAAGTTAGGAAGTGAGCTTTATATGAACGGGCAAAATTACTTGAAGCCCCAAGAGGATTCGGGGAAACTTGGGTGGCCCTCCCGCTTGTGGGGAATATGGGTTGTCGTCGGTCCTCTGCAGCCAACAGCAGACTACCATGCTACAGTCAGTAACTCATATGGGCATAACAGCCCAACCGCTAAACCAAAATAGTGATAGTTTATACGGGCAACATAATCCGACGCCGAAAACCATGTAGGCAAGGCACCACTCCTGTTCCCTCAGTAGGAATCTTGACTTCACTCGTGAACATAACATGTTGACTACCCTTCCTGCCAACCCCAAGTAAAGGAACCGGTCTGTGACCATGGCGCTCAACTGGCCGTATAACCGAACCACAACCAAACTGCCCACATGTGCAGTTCTGAGGGTGCCCCTTTTGCGGGTTAGGTGAACTCGAAACGTCCAGACCCAAAGACAAGCCTCAACTCTGGGAAAGGAGCCTGGCCGTTGAAGCCCAGCTCCAGGCTGAAGGCCTGGACAAAGCAGGGAGGGCTCCTTGGCTACATGTCCCCCTTTCAACACACCAAAAAGAAATATATATATATATATATATATCATATATATATATATAATTCAGGATCCTGTTAATCGGGGGTTTGGTCTCTATCAAGGGTTTTGTTTGAAAGGGTTCTTTTTCGTTATGGGTTCAAATATTTTGTTCATAATTTCATATGGGTTGTCGTTAGAAACAACCTCTTGGCAAGGGTATTGTTCAATTCCGACATGTTTGGGGACGGGCTGATTTTAAATGGTTGTTGTTGGTGACAGGCAAGAACATGTTCAATTCCTGATTTTGAAGCGTCCCAACCCCCCCCCCCCCCACACAGCGCACATTTTTCTCCGCAACGGATTCACTCCACAGCTTTGTCTTCCTCTGGTTGCTCTTCTTCTTCCATCTCTAGACTATTCTCAATCTCTTCTTCGGCCTGATCTTCATCCGGCTCAGCATGAGGCTCGACAGGTTTGGGCTCATTGTGTTTCTTCAAGGCAGCCTCAAGCATGATATCCTCAGTTGACGGGATTTTCAAAGAAAGCATAGCTGAAGGTACAGACTAAGCACTTAATTCAAACAAGGCCAAGCTTCCATAAGAGCTGATGCGGCTTGCGGCTCCCCATTTTGGATTTTCAGCTCATTGAACACCGAATCCTTAGATCCCAGGTGTTGGAAGGGAAACAATGTGGTCCTTGCTTTAACCAGGGCACGGCAATCTCCTCCAGAACGTTGTCGGGCAATCCCATTTGCTTCAACTTAGTAGAGCAAAAAAGAAACCATTACATGTTCTGTTTGGTGACCATCCAGTGAATACAACCCCTTACTTGCAACTTGGGCACCCTGATAACTTCCCGGCCGTTCACTTTGAAACCCCAGGTCCCATTGGTCGAGTAGCGATACTTGTAGATTTTTGCTGGTGCTGCTGGACCCTCAAATTGCTCCAAGTTGGCAGCTGCTGGGCGCTTCAAGCAAGTAGCCTTCTTAGCAGGCGCAAGCTCTTGTGGTTCAGGGGCCATAGGTTGCGGCTCCTCTTTGGATGCAGGCCTCTTAGCAGGTGCAAGCTCTGGTTCCGGGGTCGTAGGTTGCGGCTCCTCTTTGGATCCCTTTTTCTGCGGGCTGGCGCCCTGGGATGCAGGCCGTTTCATAGCTTTCCCAGACCTGCCCCTGCCTCGCCCCCTCCCAACCTCTTTTGGGCTCTTTGGCTTGGCCTTTGCCTTGCCAGCTTTTTTTGGCTTGGCTGTTCCCTTTTTGGTCTCAGAGTCAGTAGGCAGGGCATCCTTGGACAGTGCAGGGGGCTCATCATCAGAGAGCTCGCTTACATCCCTGAGGGGCATGCCAGCCTTGGTGCTCAGGTGGTAGGAAGCTGTGGGGCCAAATCTTGCGCCATGGAAAATCAAGCCAATCAATCAAGTGTTCATGTAGCATGCAACAGCCGCCCACCCAGACACACGCACACACCACCCGCTTTGTTCCTCGAGTCCACGAAGCAACATCCAAGCTGTCAAAACTGCACGCCCTACTTCAGCTGCACAGCAGACCCACCAGGTACTTTGGTCTTACAGGTGAGGTGAAGTTTTGGCTTGAGTGGGGTGATGACCGCCGGGATCGACTCATCAACCTTCGCCTTCAGTAGCAGGGAGCATAACACACAGTGGCCAACCCGAAGCCCCAACCAAGTTGCAACAGCCCCGCCTCCCAAAGGATGTTGATATTTTCTGATCTTGGAATCTTGTCGAACTTGTTCATGTACCAAGCCCCAGCCATTGACAAACGGCAGCTTGCAATATCTGTCACTTCTTTGGGCACGAAAGCGTTGACTTTTGCTCGGGGGGTGATTTTGTAGCGGAAATTCAGCATGACCCGTTGGCCATTTTCCTCCTGTCACCATCAAGTCTTTGGTTGAGCCACATGTTGAGTCCACAAATCCAAATTACACTTGCCCTGTCCTTGTACTTGCTTTCCATGGTGTGGTCCACGGCACTGAGTTCTGGCACACCCCGTTCCCTGACAACATCAGCAACCACGTCAGCCACACTCAAAATAACTTTCTCATTCCCCTTCACAAATACCACCAGCGCAGCATCGCTCTCCAAGAGCCATGGAATGTGCCCGGTCGGCTTTCCCCTCGCGGATCCTGCAGGCAGGGGGCTGGGGAGGGCAGGGGTTTGTTTGGTGGTGGGCAGGTTGGTTTTCAGTTGGGGTTGGTGGGTTGGTTGTATTGTTCCACATTAGTTTGGTCCTGTGGCGATCTCCTCAAAAGACCCAACATTGAATCCACAGAGCTCGCCAGCACTCAGGGCTTGTTCACTGCTGCTGTTGTTAAGCAACCAAAGGTTCCCGTTCTTTGTGATGGTCAGCTGCAGATCGGTTTGCCTGGCCAGAGGTAGTGCCAGAGCAATCCTGGGTGCGGGAGATTTGATGAAAAGCACACACACCATGAACAAATGTGCAAGCAAGTGGCTCCTGGTTGCTCTGGAAATCGTTCAAGGATATTGCAGTAAACACCACTGTTTTTTGCAAGTCCACAACTTTGTCGCCATTCCACTCTGGGCTGGATTGGGTACGCTGGGGGTTTGGTGATGGCAGCGCCGATGAAGACTTTTGAAGTGCAAGATCACTTGGGGCCGGGTTGGTCTCAGCTTTCAGCGCACGCTTGATGCTCCCAGTGACCTCACTTTGCACACGGTCCACCAAGGTTTCAATACTCTCGGAGAAGCCATCAGAGTTCTTGTACTTTTCCAGCACCAAGTCTGGGATCCTAATCACAGGGCACAGCAAACAAGGGTTTCAAGGGTTCAGGGTTCAGTTCAGGGATTCAAGGGTTCAGGGTTTGAAGGGTTCAGGGTTGAGTTCAGGGTTTCAAGGGTTCAGGGTTCAGTTCAGGGTTTCAAGGGTTCAGGGTTCAGTTCAGGGTTTCAAGGGTTCAGGGTTGAGTTCAAGGGTTCAGGGTTCAGTTCATGGTTTCAAGGGTTCAGGGTTCAGTTCAAGGTTTCAATTGTTCAGGGTTGCAAGGGTTCAGGGTTCAGTTCAGGGTTGCAAGGGTTCAGGGTTCAGTTCAGGGTTGCAAGGGTTCAGGGTTCAGTTCAAGGTGTCAAGGGTTCAGGGTTAGTTCAGGGTTTTAAGGGTCCAGGGTTAGTTCAGGGTTTTCAGGGCAAGGTTGGCAAGCATCTTCACATCCCCATTCTCTGTGGTCAGCATCTCCAGGTTCGGGGGGGCTTCTTTGAACTGTGCACCGGGTCGAACCTTGTCTCCTGCTTCTGGGCATCCATCCCACCATTCCTGC